TCATGACAGATGGCATGCTGCTCAGAGAGGCCCTGCTAGATCCTCTGTTGAGGAAGTCTGTGTTATACGTACATACATACATACATACAATCCTTTTCTATTTTACTTCAAAAATATAATTCTTTCTGTATTTTGGATGGAGCGTTAAAATACCTGTCTGTGCGAAGCGTTTAACATAGATTAAAGCTGAACCCGGATATGATTATTACTTCCCTATAGTTCTAATCAATTATGGGTTCATACATACATACATACATACATACATACATACATACATACATACATACATACATACATACATACACACACACACACACACACACACACACACACACACACACACACACATACATACATACACACACACACACACACACACATACACATACATACATACAGAAAATATATGTAAAAAGTAGCAGCGATTATGTTGGTTCATGTGTTGATATGGTCCTGAAAATTCATGTAGAAAAACCGGCCAAGTTAGTGCTGTTAATTCACCAACAACGATGACGATGATGATGATGATGATGGGGATGAAGATGATAATGATGATTCGTTCATTCATTCGTTCGTTCATTTATTTGTTCATTCATTCATTCATTCGTTCGTTCTTTCATCAGTGAAGACATCTTAGTGTTCTTAACTGGTCAAGATGAGATTGAAAGGGCTATTCAACTGCTTCTCTGGAAGCGTCAGTCATCTATTTACGATGGTAATAATAATTAATAATAATAATTAATAATAATAATAATAACAATAATTAATAATAATTAATATTAATAATAATAATTAATAATAATAATAATAACAATAATTCATAAAATAATTAATAATAATAATAATAATACACAATGATAATCATGTAGACAGACGTAACAGTAATTACACGTAATACTGCATCCGTCAATAAATAAATAGATATGTAAATATCTATAACATTAATAATATTATATTATTATTATATTATTAATATCATTATTATTATCATTGTTATTATTATCATTATTATTATTATAGATTCAGCAGTCTTCATACCACTAGCGTTCTACACTGCTCTGCCACTAGATGAACTGAACAAAGTTTTTGAACCAGCCCCGCCTGTAGTTTTATATAATTTTTTTTTTCCATTTTTAAATATTTCTTCAATCGACCGTTAAACAATTATTTGTTTTGTTCAGGTCTTTATTTATTTATACGTTTATTTATTTGTTTAATTAGTTAATTGGTTAATTAGTTAATTGATTAATTAGTTAATTGATTAATTAATTTGTCAGGGTATGAGGAAGGTTGTGTTTAGTACAACACTAGCTGAGACCTCGCTGACCATAAGAGGTATTAAGTACGTCGTTGATTGCGGCAAGGCTAAAGTTAGGTAGCTGATGATGATGATGAGGATGATGATGATGATGATGAGGACGGTGATGATGACGATTATGATGGTTGTGATGATGACGATGATAATGGTTGTGATGATGATGATGATGACGACGATGGCGATGATGATAATAATGATGACTTCTATAGTGGAACCATACGATAGCCAAAATATTATTTTCCTGGGAGAAGAGGGAATGATGATATCATTTGTTAATATCACCATAATATAATAACGATAATAATTATCATAATTAATACAATGTCAAGGACCTTCGAGCCTGTTAGTGGCCTTGACATTTTGAAGGTCAGGGTGATATCCCAGGCACAGGCCAATCAGAGAGCGGGTAGAGCCGGTCGAGAATCGGATGGCGTATGCTACAGGATGTACTCGATGGATAAGTTTAACTCCATGAAAAAAACTTCCGTGCCTGAAATTAAGAGGTGTGTTTGTGTGTTTGTTTGTGTGTGTGTGTGTGTAGATGTCTTTTTCTTTCTCCGTCTCTCTCTCTCTCTCTTTCTCTCTCTCTCTTTCTCTCTCTCTCTGTTTTTCTTTCTTTTTATTTATACGGCCATCATCATAAATAAACAGGACCAACTTATCCAGCGTTATACTACAACTCTTATATTGGGGTGTCCGTGACATCACTTCCTTCGACTTCCTGGACAAACCTAAACCGGAGGTTGTGGACGTGATGCTGATTATGATTGTAGTGTTGATAATGATTGCAGTTATGGTGATGATAACGGTTACGACGATGATGAGGATGATGATGATAGCTTTTTTTTCACTTTTTTTTACCAATTTTTTCTATTTCTTGCTATCACCCTATTTATTCTCTCTCTCTCTCTTTCTCTTCTTTTTCTCATCACAGTTCATTCGTTCGTTCATTCATTCATTCATTCATTCAGACCCTGGCAAAAGGCGTGCAGATGTTGAAATGGCTAGGTGCTATAGTGGATGATGGCGGTAACTGTGATGACGACGACAAGAAATTATACAAGGTTTATTCTTATTATTATGCTTTTATTATTATTTTTATTATTATCATTATTATTATTTTTATTGTTATCATTGCGATAACTTATTTCTCATTTGCTGAAGTGGAGGTGAAGTGCAGAACGACAAGCCTATCTTAATAATAATAACAGATAATAATAAATAAATAATAATAATAAATAATAAAAATAATAATAAATAATAATAAATTTATTTTTAGCTGACAGCTGTGGGCAAGCAGATGGTAAAGTTCCCATTACTTCCTCAGTACTCCAAAATCATCATTAACGCCAACTCTTACGGATGCTTGTTAGTAATTATTATTGTTATTATTATCATTATTGTTGTTGTTATTATCATTGTTGTTATTATTATTATTGTTGTTATTATTATTATTATTGCAACTTTATTGCAACTCTATGTTTATCATAAAATTTGATTGATAACGCCAAAATATTAAGAATGATTGAACCCCAATTGAGCAATTAGACCAGCCCCCCTTTACGATCCGCTCACTCACTTGCAGTGACGAGCATTTCAGATTAATAGGATTTCATAATTATTTCATTTTTGATAATATTCGGTATTCGGAGTCAGAAAATAAAAAGATGTTCTCATTATTATTATTGTTGTTATTATTATTTTTATTATTATTTAGACCGGAGATTCTGAATATAATAGCTATGCTGTCTGCTGATAACATACTCGTTGACGTCTTAAATAAGGTAGATTATTGTTATCATTATTGTTTATATTATTATTATTATTTATATTATTATTATAATTTATGTTGTTTTTGTTATTTTTCCAATTTATCCTGTCTTTAACAGAGAAACGAAATCAGGATAAATAGGTCTGTCCTTGAGGATAATTCAGGTTTGCTCGTTCAGTTGTTCATTCATTCGTTCATTCGTTCATCTATTTTTTTGTTTGTTCATACATTTACGCATTCATTCATCCATTCATTCACTTATTCATTCATTCGTTTTTTCATCCATTCATTCATTCTGTTTATCACCCATCCAACTTACCAGTTAACTTATTTTCTTAAAATTCTTAAAAGCTCTGGCAATAGTCCCAACTAAAAACATAGTCCCAACTATGTTTGCTTGTTTGTATGTATGTATGTATGTGTGTGATTTGATAAAAATGAAACATATCGTCATTTAGGTGACCTAATAACCTACTTAAGAATATTCAGTGAATACAATAATGTCAACGATAAAGAGGTTAGATGTGTTTGTAGGTATGCTTGCATGTGTGTGTATGTATTTATGTTTTTATATGACTGTATGTTTGTTTGTATGTGTATACGTGTGTATGTATGTTTGTGTATACGTGTGTATGTATGTGCAGCGCGACGTATTCTTTCCAGAAATGGTGTAAGAAGTATTATATAAACGAGAGATCCATGAGAGTGGCGGCCAGTATAAAGTATCAGTTGAAGCAGCTCTGCATTCACGAAGGCTTCAAGATGGATTCTAGAACCGGACGAGATTACGATACGATTATGTGAGTCTGAGTCAGTAATGTGATGATTGTTTGGATCGAAACCTCCATCTTATCCTATTTTGTATCTTCTTCCTCCAGTTCTTATTTTTTACTTATTTGAAATATGCTTTATTACATTCTCTCTAATTTTCTCTCTCTCTTGTTTGTCTGTCGTTCTCTCTCTTTTTCTCTCTCTTTAATTTGTTATACTAGACCACACAAATTAATAAATTATGTTAATTTTATTGATTAAATCAATTAAAACCCGACAGACAGTGCCTGTGTACAGGGTTATTCATGAATTATGCCAGACATGCTGTCGATAGATTTCTCACAGTACGTCATTTGCAGGCTGAATGTGTTTGTTTGTATGTAGGTTGTATGTGTTTGTTTGTATGTAGGTTGTTTGTATGTATGTATGTATGCATGCTAGCGCATTTTCAACATATTTTCTAACTTCATTCTCCTTAAAAAAAATTATTTTCAATGTTAATTTTAAATCATTTCATTCCTGACATGCAATGATACAGTTCTGTTGACCTTAAAATTTATTGACGCGAAATTATAACCACATAAATTATTTAATTACAATTAAAATTATGAAACTGATTATCAATTATGAAACTAATTTTTAATTATGAAAGTAATTATTAATTATGAAACTAATTATTAACTACTAACTCGACACACAATCGACCGACAGAACGATAGCCAGGAGGCAAAGATTCACCCATCGTCGTTCCTCGCCAAGAAGTCAAACGCCGGCGCGCACGTAATCTACTGCGAATTAGTGCACTCAAATGAGGTATACATGCGTTACGTTAGCAACGTTCATCCGGACTGGGTCAAAAATGCTGCCCCAACTACGTACGAGATCAAAAAATTAGTACAGCCCGATCCGGATGATGTTAAAAGGAGGAAGAGAGATATAAAAATGGGATTGAAGTAGTTTTGTGAAAGATATCCAGATTGATTGATTAATTGGTTAATTTGTTTATAGATTCATTTAATTGATTTATTGTATTGTGTTGTTGTGATGTGTAATATAATTGAAAACCATGTATGTGTATGTCATTTGTGTTTATGTAGAATAAAGTAGAATGTCATATGAACATATGTGTGAGATAGATAGATAGATAGATAGATAGATAGAGAGAGAGAGAGAGAGAGAGAGAGAGAGAGAGAGAGAGAGAGAGAGAGAGAGAGAGAGAGAGAGAGAGAGAGAAACAGAGATGGATTCTATTTAACACATAAACTGCTTTAAGGTTCCTTTATAATTTTAGTGACATCTGTCAAAAATTCGTCATTGTGAAGATACTTTGCTAATGAGCGAGTTATGAGATGGGACGTTCGTTCGTCAGTATCTCAACAGAAAATTGAATTCAAACGCAGTTTATATTGTTTTAAAACTAATTGCCAGACACAAGTGGCGTGGAATACGCGCAACCCAACGGTCATTATGATACTGTACTAAATAATAAAATGAAAATAAATATCTACAAAGTGATCAACTCGAAAACCCGTTCAACCAATCAAATCCATTGGTCATTCAAATCAACCAATCAAATGAATGGGTCCTTCGACTTGACCAATCAAATCAAAGCAGATCTTACATGCCCACCATAAATGCATTTCCGCCATCGAGTCGATTTATTTCTTGTTTGAATTTAATCATATCCTCCTTACACTGCTTCAAATGGTCTGTGTGCTTCTGGATCTGCTGTTTGATTTTAGCAGACGCCTGTTCTATGGCCGCCAGTTGACGTTGTTTTTTCTCTTCAACTGCATATAAATCATAAAAATTGTAGTTAGTATGACAATAATTATTATTATATTATAATGAAATAATTTGGTAATTTAATAAATTTAAATGAAAAGTTAGACGAAAACATTATTTCAGGTACAATTTGTTTCGTGCATGTAGTTTCCTAAATGAAGTGGACGAGGTTGTGTCAACAGTCTGTGCATTAGAACTGATGGGTCCTGGAAAACCTAAAATTAGGGAAAGATACATGAACAATTATTATAATTATTCATTTATTTATTGTTTAGTTAGTTCTTTGTAATATTCTTTTTATTAACATAGGGCTGATCTAACCATAGGTGATTGGAAATGTTTTAAATTCAATGATCAAATAGCAATTCTCACAAAATAATTACAGAATGTTTACAAAATTACAAGAGAATGATTACAAAATTATTAATGAATGTTTACAAAATGATTACAGAATGCTTACAGACTGATTACAGAATGATTACAAAAAGGAAAATAGTAAAAATTGCTTGCCATTTCGTCGTAAGATTCAGAAACTAAATTCTTCTTGCCGGACATTATATCTGTGTCGCTTTGAAAGAGTTTCAGCAGGTGATATATGGTGACCTGGACACAGTAATAATAATAAAAACAATAAGAAGAAGAAGAGAAATCATGAATATTGGAAAAAAAAACTGTAAAATACAAAAAAATAAATAAAATTGTAACAAAAAATATGGAAATTTTACCGGTTTCTCGTTGGGATCGTTGAAGTAGATTTTAATAATGACCTCAAACTCGCCCCACCCAGTTTCTGTGACCTCGTAAGGGGGTCGTGTTATAACTAGGTAAGGTAAAGAATAAATTATCATTCATATTATTATTTATTCAATCATAACAATTTATTCTTTAGTACATCTTACAACAACGAATGCACAGTATATGCCAATGCATCGCACGTACACATTGCATGTAATAAACTGAAATCACTTTGTGTTTGAATCTGGTTAGTGTGATAACATTGCCAAGCTCTTTCACCACTATATTATAACTATATATATATATACATATATATGCATGTACTACCTCTGTTTGTGTTGGCATAACTTTCATGTAGTTTGAAATTCATCTTCTTGACGTAGACAGACATATCCTGTGGGAGTGTTTTGGAAGAAATATTATACTAATATAATTATTACAACTATACATTTTATTATATTATAATAATTATATTATGATCATTATTATTTGATTTATATATATATATATATATATATATATATATATATATATATAATTATTATAATTATATATATATAATTATAATAAGATAGATAAGTTCTCTGCTCTTTGAAGTTCTATGATTACTATTTAATAGTATTTATTTAGTCAGAAACACGAAAAAACGATTTTGCAAAATGAAATGTATTATTTATAAATTATGTCATAATTTATGTCATAATTATTATGACGATGTTAAATAAGATTATTATATATATTTTTTATAGCTAACTTCATTAGCATACGATTTTACAAAAACAGTCCACTGATGAGTATGGCCATCTTCTTCACGCTTCTTGCCGAAATAACTCGCGATATTTCCGTACACGATCGGCTTAACAACCGTGATTCCCTAACAAAAGAACAATTTTTCATTTAATCATTAAACTTTGGCAACCAACCAGTAAAAAATCAGAAAATCAAAGAAATGTACATGTTTACAAGGTTGCTGGTTATCTTCTTATCGCTCAGTAAACCAACAAAAATTTTTAAATATTTAATTTTTAATGTTCAAAATTTCGCCATAAATGCAACCTTCTGCCTGCTGCCGACATCTAACATCGCATCTCCGGACATTTTTATTTGAAAAAAAGTAAAATGAATTTAAAAAGTAAACTCTAGTTAATATACCAAAGAAACCTAGAGAATGGACTTACAATAATTATTAAGTGCTCAACGTTGGTAATTATAAACGGTAAATATTTATATTTATTTATTAATTTATATTTATATAAATGATGGTATATCTATAATTATATGGGTGTAGTTTATAATATACCTAAATTACTGTTGTAGTTGATACATGTAGTTAATTACTCTTGTATTTGCTGACCATTACTATTTTTGTTGATTATTGCCGTTGTTGTGATTGTTATTGCTATTGTTGTTTTTGGTGATGTTGTTGATTATTATTGTTATTGTTGTTGTTGTTGTAGGGGTGTACATTTCTTACAAGTGTCACCTTTGTTATAATTCCATTTCGTGTTAATCCGTCAGTATAAATTGTCGCTTGTATGAAATTAGTTGGACGGTCAAATTGTGGTTGGGATGCTAATTATAGACGTGTGTGTGTGTGAGTGTGTGGGTGTGTATGTGTGTGTATGCGTGTGTGTGTATGTGTGTATATATATATAAGTACGTTTGTGTAAACGTATGTGTGAGTGTTTGTATCTTTGTAAGTATGTATATGTATGTTTGTATGCGTTTTTGTATGTTTGTACATGTATGAATTTGTGTGTCTACGTATGTGTGTGTGTGTGTGTGTGTGTGTGTGTGTGTGTGTGTGTGTGTGTGTGTGTGTGTGTAAAATATAAACGCAGGCAAGTATTTGGGAGTCAATAACCGAAAGCACCCCATCTATTTTTCTAAAGTTCACAACTTTATTAATCATTTTCGCAGTAATTTTTACACTAATTTCTTTATCCACTCATTCACACAATCGTTCATCCATCCATCCATTCATCCATCCATCCATACAGTAAGTCATTCAGTCATTCTATCATTCCTTCACTTCTTAATTTTCTCACTCTCTCTTTCTTGCACCCCACTGAGAGCCTATTTCACGTGGCACGACAGAGTTGTGAAGCTGCGTGAAAATTATTATCGTCCGCCATTTTGTTTTTCTACTACTACTACTACTACTACTACTACTACTACTACTACTACTACTACTACTACTACTACTACTACTGCTACTACTACTACTATACTACTACTACTACTACTACTGCTGCTACTGCTACTACTGCTACTACTACTACTATTTGACGTGTTGTTTATATTTGTTTATATAATTTTTCATGTTTTGTATTTCTTCATGGTCATCATCGTTATCATCATCGCCATCATCATCTTCATCATCATCATCATCAGAGTTATCATCATTATCATCATCACCATCATCATCATCGTTATAAAGTAATACTTAGTTACGTTGCATATAAGTTTGTTGTATCAACGACAATTATAATAAAACAAATCGATACATGTATATATATTCAACATATATAACAACACACACACACACGCACACAGGTATTTTATATTTAGTAGTAGCAGCAGCAGCAGTAGTAGCAGTAGCAGTAGTAGTAGTAGTAGAAGTAGTAGTATTAGTAGTGGTAGTAGTATTAGTAGTAGTAGCAGTAGCAGTAGTAGTAGTAGTAATGGTAGTGTGGTTGTAGTAGTAGCAGTAATGGTAGTGTGGTTGTAGTAGTAGCAGTAGTAGTAATAGAAGTAGCAGCTGTAATAGTAGTAGTAGTAAAAGTATTTATGAAAGAATTAATTGTAATTGTTTTGGTTTTATTGTTGAGAAATCATAGACTTCATATAGCGCATTATTTTTAAGTTCGGCGTATCACTTCAGTGATCCCGAGCTCAGCAGGGTATGTATGTATGTATGTATGTATGTATGAATGTGTGTGTGTGTGTGTGTGTGTGTGTGTGTGTGTGTGTGTGTGTGTGTGTACGTATGTGTATGTATGTATATATATATATATATTTTGTACAATATTCTATAAATTGTTTTCGGTAGAATTTATAGAATATTGTAAAAATTATGGTCTTTTACCAACATATATATATTTATATTGGATGAAAACTTCAATAATATCACTTGTAAAAGTATTTCACTTCGTATCTCTTCCGCCAATACACATACTGCCCGAATACTTTGAAATAAAAATTCTACTGGAAAGATAGATACAGATTCCACTTCTTAGGTATCATTCTCATGTTATTTTTAATTAATGATATTGATTGTAAGCCTCCACTGTCGCTTCTGTTACTGCAGTTACTACTACTGCTGCAGCTACTAGAGTTACTTCTTCTACTACTACTGCCACCACAAAACGGCAATAATAAGAAGATGATGTGGTTTATTGGACCACCTGAGGCGACTAATTAAAAGCGAGCAAATGTCGACCCTAACCCCATCTGTGTGTCCGCGTGTGCGTGAAATAACGTGTGCGTGTGCGTGCATGTGCGATGTGTGCGCGCAATTCAGTGTCCGTCTGTGAGTAAAATAATGCGTGTTCATGCGTGTGTGCAATAACGTTTGTTTGAATGTGTATAGATGTTTGTCTTTGTTTGTGTGTGTACGTGTTTGTGTGTGCGTCTTTTGTGTTGTGTGTGTGTGTGTGTGTTTGTATGTGTGTGATACGTAAACATCATCATCATCTTCGTCATCATCTTCTTAGTCATCATCTTCGTCATCATCATCACCATCATCAACAACGTCTTCTTCTTCGTCGTCGTCTTCTTCATCACCATCATCGCCTCATTTTCAGTCAATTAATTTCCAAGAAAACCTATCACCAGTCTATCGACCAAGAACACTTGCCATCTTGTTGTTGCTGTTGTTGATGACTTTGATGATGACGACTACGATGTGGACGACGATGATGATGACAAAGATGATGATGACGACGATGATGACGACGAGGACGATGATGATTTTGTTGATGTTGTCTTTTAGATGTTTATGTTGGTTGATGTTGTTAATTTTTAGACACTGAAATTTATCCAGCGATCCGCCATTCAACCATTTATTTATCTATTCATTTATTTTATTATCTATTCATTCATTCATTCTTTTGTTTGTTCGTTCGTCCGTCCGTTCGTTCGTTCGTTCATTCATTCATTCATCCATCTTTCCATCCATCCGTCATGAGCTAAAGAAGTGTGAAAAGGTTAAACGAATGAACCATTAATTTATTGGTTGATTGGTTTGTTGGGTGATTGATTGAAAAAATAAATAAATGAATGAATGAACGAATGAATGAATGAATAAATAAATAAATGAATAAATAAATTAACAAGTGAATGAACGAATGAAAGAAAGAAAGAACTTACGACATAACGTTCGAACAAACACTCGAATGAGCGAACGAACGAACCAAACGAACGAACGAACGATAGAACAATCGAATGAATGAAAGACTGAATAGATAAAAGTATAAATAAATGAAAAAATGAATAATTGAATAAAAAGATGGATGGATGGATGGATAGATGGATGGATGGATGGATGGATGGATGAATGGATGGATGGATGGATGGATGGATGACTAATTTTCGAATCAATCGCCCATAACAAATCACTAACGCCCGACTGACTGAAACATTGCATGATATGTAACCCCCCCTACACAATAACATACAAACATTCATACAAACATACATACAAACTTTCATACAAACATACATACAAACAAACAAACATACATACAAATAAACAAACATACATACACACACACAAACGTACATACACACGTACAAACATTCCTCTTCCTTTATAAATAGACATAAATAAACAAATAATGAAATATGTGTAACTATATATATATATATATATATATATATATATATATATGTGCGTGTGTGTGTGTGTGTGCGTATGTGTGTGTGTACGTGCGAGTGCGTGTGTTGTGTGTGTGTAATCACATAAATATACATTTGAATTTGTATAGAAATGAGATTTGAATGTCCTCCAGTTAATAAGAGAGCCATTGACAAATTAATATGCAAATTTATATACCTGGCCAATTCTTCATCTCAATAATTGTCGAAGTTTGCTGTAAAAAGTAGTAATAGTAGTAATGGTTTTACATAGTAAATTAGTAGTAGCGGTAGTGGTAGTAGTAGTGGTTGTATTATTATTTGTAGCAGTAGTAGTAGTTGTTGTTGTAGTAGTAGTAGTAGTAGTAGTTGTTGTTGTTGTAGTAGTAGTAGTAGTAGTGGTAGTGGTAGTAGTAGTAGTAATAGTAGTAGTAGCAGTTGTTGTTGTTCTAGTAGTAGTAGTGGTAGTAGTAGAAGTAGTAATAGTAGTGTTAGTAGTAGTAGTTGTATNTGGTCAACATACATAATAACCCGCATGCTTTTGTGTTAGACTCATTGAACTTATGTAGCAATTTTTACTGCAACAGTTTGTATTGGTTTCTAATAGTATTACTGCTATTTTTACTATTACTAATACTATCTTTACTGCTGCTACTACTGCCACTACTGCTACTACTGCCACTACTGCTACTACTGCCACTACTGCCACTACTGCTACTACTTGTAGTAGTTCTGTTACTTCTGCTGCTACTGCTACTTCTGCTGGTTAAACTGCTTCTATTACTGATTTTACTCACTGCAATTATTAACACTACTACTAATAAAATTACATACATACATAAACTACATACATACATACATATATACATACATACATGCATACATACATACATACATACATACATACATACATACATACATACATACATACATACATACATACATACATACATACATACATACATACATACATACATACATACATACATACATACATACATACATACATACATACAT